AATGGTCTTAATTATCCATAAATGAGTGAGATCATGTGGTATTTTTCTTTCATTGACTGGCTTATTTCACTTAGCATAATGCTCTCCAGTTCCATCCATGCTGTTGCAAAAGGAGACATATATAATACTCTTTGTAATACTTTAAGCAATAAAACAATTAAAAAAATGGAGCCAATTTATGTTTCCTCCAACATTGTATAAAAGTTTCAGCTTTTTTTGTCTTTGCCTATATTTGGTATGCCATACTTAAAAATGTCTATCAACCTAATGTTTGTGAAATATGTAATTTCTGTTTTTACTTTGATTTCCCTAGTTAAGTGTGAGGTTGAGTGTATTTTCACATGTTTATTGGCCAATTGGGTTTCCTCTTCTATGAACAACATGGACATATTATATGCTCATTTTTCCTATTGGAGTTTTGCGTTTTTCTTATTGATATGGTATAACTTTATATATGTATCAAGACTTTAATCCTTTATCAGTTATATAAGATTCAAATATATTTCCTCAGTCTACTACTTATCTTTTAATGTTTTGATGCTATCTTTTGTCTTCAGAGGCTTTAAATTCTCCTGTAATCAAATTTACTATTATCCTATGTAATAAAAGGCTAATATGCAAATTGTCCCCTTGACCAGGAGTTCAACCAGGGGATGGGGCTGGCTGGTCAACAGCCCGAAGCCCCTCCCCCCAGCCGGCCCCATCCCCAATCGCACCCCCCCCATCAGGGCAGGCCAGACCCTACCCATGCACGAATTCATGCACCAGGCCTCTAGTTTTTCTATAAGATTTCTGCTTTTTGCCTCTTGGTGAAGGTCTTTTTTTTTATCACAAGAATTTAAAGAGAGTCTCCTAGATTTTCTTCTAATAATTTTAAAGTTCTGTTCTTTATAATCAAGTCTTTAAAATGTCTGGAGTTTATTATTATATAACATGTGAGGTGATCTAATTTAATTTTTCCCATATGAAAGTTAATCCCAATCTCATCTGTTGAATATTCCATGCTTTCCTTACTTTATCCAGTTAAACAAATATTTATACCAATTTTCTAAACATTGTTCTAGTCACTTTGAATACAGTATTAAGACAAATAAAATGATTGCTAATCATTAATTATATTTCATTAAATCTCTTGCCCTTGTTGAGTTTGTATTCTACTTTGGGGAGATATATAATAAACACAATAAATAGGTATATTATGTAGTATGTTGGAAGATGACAAGTGTTATGGAAAGAAACTGAGCAGTATAAGGGAAATTGGGAGTGCTGGATTGGGAGGAATGATTGTAACTTTAAATAGGGTTGTCTAGTTTTGTCACATTAAGAAGTTATTTGAAGAAAGACTTGAGAGAAGTGAGGAAGTTGGCATGTGAATATTTGGGGGATAATAAAGGTAATACTTATACATACTGTTTACTAAATAAGTAAAATATTACATATATTTACTAATTTAATAATCATAATAACAGATGTTTCACAATAACTAATATTTGTGACTTTCACAAAATTTCTCCTTTTTTAAAAAAAATTTGACAGTATTACAGATGTCCTTCAATTTATGTTGGGGTTTTTAATTAGAATTTCTTTATATACATTACTCGGGATGATATCTTTACAATATTGCATCTTGCCATCCATGAGTATGTTCTGGCTCTACATTTATTTACAGCTTCTGTTATGTTTTTCAATAATTTTTATTTTCTCAATAAAGTTCCTACAGATATTTGTTGGATTTTTTCCTATGTACTTTATAGTTTTATGATCACCATAAATAATTTGGATATATTTCCAACCTTATTTCTTGTTTATCTACCCCACCCCAGATCCTATTCTTTTTTTTTTCATGGGTAATATAAACTAATGATTCTCTCTCTGTGTGTATGTGTATGTCCATATGATGGATGGTCTTATGTCTTGACCCTGATCTTTAAACTGAGTTTGAGTAACCCAGACCACAGCATATCAAGAAAGATCTAATTCCTTCTCCTTCATGATTTTATAAAGATTCATATTCTTGTCCTGTTTCCTCAATGAATATTCAAGCCCCTCAGGAGCAGTGACTGATGTCTCCTACTGTGCATCTTGTCTGTGGTACTGGTCACATGGTAAGTACTCAAAAAGTCTTACTGCTGCATTTCTCACAGTGGGGTTTTTATACTTTTCCTTTAATCATTGAACCCTTGACCATAATGCTTCCTTGATCATCAACGTTGACTTCCATACACAAAGAAGTACTTTCCCCCTGAACTCGTGCCTGATACCTCTCTTCTGCCAGTGATCCTTCTCTAAAGATGGGAGAGAAAATGTCTTAGTGAGTAGATGAGAGTTCTTTGAGAAAAATACATGTTTGTGAGATTTAAACCAGGCACAATGGGTCTGAGGCTGCCAGTCACTACTTGAGCCAAATTAACCAGAGACAGGGTTGAATCATATATGAGCGTTAATTCCAATGATGCCAGCAGTATGGGGAAAGCAGTCAGTCACCCTGGAAAGTCTGCTCTGAACCCTCTCACAAGTTGGCTGAATATATATATATATATGCACATGAAGTAGAAAATTAGCTGCAAGGGTACTGTAACAGGGAAGGGGGAGAGTACGGTCTGCAGTCCGGCTTTCAGGAGCTCAATAACAAGGTGGTTAATCTTCTATGATGTTACAAACAGCTCAGCCTGTTCCTGGGACCAGAGAATGGTCAGCATTCCTGAGAAAAACTCCTGGAGGGGGTCAGGGTCCAGTTACAGCAATCAAAGTGTGTCCTATCCTTGGTCTGTTCTCAAAATATATTTCTTTTCTGAGTAATGGACCCATTGAGGCATCTTATCTTTTTAAAGGCTTGTTTCATCCTCCAGTTTCCCAAGATCGGTAAGAAAACTTCTCATCAGTAGTTAGTAAGGTGATTAATTGTTAAGCAACTATGGCTCTATTCTTATTACATGCCCTTCCCCAGTATCAAGATGATCTAGTCCAGGTTTTACAAAAGTTTTTTCCACAGAACATTAGTCCATAAGATACTTGGGGCTAAAGGTGGGTGGGTTCTGAGCTTAAAAAAAGCCTGGTAAACTCTTTATACTAAGTTGTCTTTTTGGAGACTTGTGTCATATTTTAAGAATCTTAAAGGCCCAGAGAAATTTCATGATAAAAAAAAACTAATTTTGTGTAGCACATCAACTTTGAAAGGCTTTTGAACACAGAACCTTTTTCCTTGGAGCTCAGGCAACAAAGAACACCTATTAACATCCACATACCTCACACTTGGAAACTGATTTTGTTCACCCCCCTGCTCTCTGGTATGTGTAAAACAAACAAAGCCATCTATTCTAGATTGTCTTTTAGAAACAGTTTGCAGCTTCCACTGTAGTGTTGCAAATCTCATACCATGAGGACATTTTCTCTAATATCTATTCTAAATTCCCCTTTTTTAAGTTTTAAAAATCTATCTATTCTTATATCCTCACTGGAAATAAAATTATTTTTTATTTTGATGCAAAATGAATTGCTTATATTTACAGAATGCTTATGATGCAAGAAAAAATTAAGATATTGGCCTTGCTGGACAGGATGTTGCAATCATTGATTGGAATTTCCATATTTCTCTACTCCCATTCCTTGATATTTCTGTGCACCTGACCTGAATAACCCTGGTTTTTCAAGAGGTGACTACAATTTAAGGCAGAAACAAATGAAAAAGACACATGCAGTTCCCTCAGGAACTTATTTAGAAACCAGGAGTGCAGCAGCAAGGGGGACTTGGCTATACTGGTTGTGCACTTGAGGCTGACCACCCAGCTAACATAGATAATTTAGGCTTTGCTAAGCCAACACCTTCCAGAGAAGAAAAATCATATTTTTATCCAACTTTGAGGTAGCTTACAGTAAAACACATACACATAAAGTGCTTAACTGTAAACCCTCAATAGCTATATATATATATATATATATATATATGTGTGTATTTGAGAAAAACTCTTGGGGTGTGTGTGTGTGTGTGTGTGTGTGTGAAAAGGGTTACTTATACTTGGAATTAGATATAAGATAATTACTGAGCATACTAATGTCTCTGAGCTTCCTGGAAGCCAAGTAAAAATGGAACCATGATAGTTCAAGTCTGTTAAATATTAATACATGAAACCTCAGTTGTGAAAATGGTAGCCCACCCCACTTTAGTCTCTCATCTTTCTCTTCTTTCATCTTACAGTTTGGCTAGATTTAATAAATTCAATTTGGATGCTTCCTTGCTCTTTATAATATATCTGATGTAAATAAGCCAATTAGTAACAAATAGGACATTCGAGGAGAAAGCTGTTAATATTTATCTTGTAGCCATCAGACTCAGTTCACATAGAAAGGTCTCTGGGTTGGATTTTAAGTTTCAAACTCTCAAAGGTAAATTTCGCAGATCCCATTAACCAAAGCTAAAAGGTCTTTGGGGTCCTTTTTCAACTCTATACTCTATGAAATCTGGAACTCTTTCCCCTTGTCTTGTCTGTTTCCTACTCCCTCTTAGTCTGTTCCATTGTCCTCATTTAAAAAAATACCCAGTTGTTGGATGTACAGACTAAAATTCCTTAAATAACTTGCCGATTTAATTGTTTTCTCTCAAGAAGGTGAAAGGAAGATATTGACAATTTCGAAGAAGCCTGCTTTGACTGTGTCCAGCCCCCCAGGCAGATTAAGTCAAGATTTTGGCCAAGTGAAATTACCAATTCGTTAAAAGAAAAGGCTAGCACATTGCTCATTAGAGCATTCTAAACTTGCCTGTGCAATCTTTTTGCTACCCTGCAATTTCCTGTTGGTTATAAATGAAACCTTTCTAGTTGTTAATGCAGGCTGAAAATTGAAAAAAAAACATGCAATTAATCATAGGAGGTTGGGGGATTCACTAAGCCTGAGTATAGGGGAGATGCTGGGCAAGGCACTAGGACCTAGAAGGCATCTATCCACCCTGGCAGGAATTTCTTGCTTGGAGCTCAGACAACAAAGGCACAGAGAGATTGGTTTTCTTTCTCTCAGCATCTCCACCCAACCAGCAGAAAACCGGTGAGTGGGGCTTTCAAGTTATTTTCAGGAAGAATGTAACAGATGTCAAACGGGAAAAGCACAAGGCAAAGTTCTCTCTTTCTCTCTCTTTTTCTCCACCCCTCTGTCTCTCTCTCTGTCTCTTTTTGCCTCCTGCCTTATTCTTGGATTTGTTTCCTAAGCCTCTACCTGGAATTTTCCTTTTAAAAAGTGAGTTTGATGTTCCTTTGTTTTCACTGTGATGTCGATTTAGAATAATACCACCCTGACACTAGAGCCAAGCATTGCTAGCACGCCTGGGGAAATGCTTGCTACTTGTCTTGAGGAGGTGGGGTCTCTACCACTGCAGGTTGTCTGACAGACAATGCTGAGCTCAGCACAGGTCATGGTGACACTGGAAGAAAAAGGAGACTGAGCCTGGAAAACCTACTAGGCAGCAGTCCTCCTTTATCTCATATCCTTCTGGTCCCTTGCAAATATCTCAATGTGGCAGTGTGTAGCAGCTGAGCTCTGCTTGCTTTGTGAGTCCTTTTATCCCCATCTGTGAGATGCATGTTAATAGTTTGTTTCCTAAGCTGTCACTACCTTTGCTAGCTTTTGAGACTTCTGTTGAATTTGGTTTCATGTTTTGATTTTTTGTTGTTGTTGTTCAACAGAAGGGGAAAGCAAATCTGACAGATGACCATCTTTTCCTCCTCTTGTAACACACCTGGGCAATAGACACGTTTGGGGTGAATTGCCTGCTGTGAAGGCAAAATGTCCCTTCAGTCAGGTTAGAACCTCAGAACAATGAAAGGTGTGCTTGCTTCTAAAGACCCCATATGCTGTTCAGAGATTCATTTGGGAATCTTTTAAACAATTAAATTATTCTGTTAAGAGGTGGGGCTGCATTGGTGGGAAGGGGGATAAAGCATATAAAAAAAATAGAAGAGGATTTTGTTACTAAATGGAACCAGAGGGAAGCAAAGCTAATAAATTGTTAAGTAACTGAATTTTCTAATCCTTTTTTCCCCAGCTTATTTCTTATGAATGTTGTATAGCTGTACCAGCTTGGTGGGGAAAGGGTTTGATGAATAGCACAAAGACACTGGCTATTCCCTGGAGGCTGCCCCTTTAGAGGAGACTCTTACTCAAGGCTTATTCTGGGGGGAGGGTATGCACACATTAGAATAGGAAAGAGAGTTTGGAATAAAATTAAAACACTCCCCTTCATAGTCATTTTACTGAGATGCAAAAATTGTTTCCTAAGCTAGAGATGCTAACGTTGGCTAGCTCCTTCTATTCTCTTCAAGGGGAATTTTGTTAGGCTATGGATTCATATTCAACTGTTAGTCATGTGAGCATGTGTGAGGAAACAGATGCCGGTTTTAATGTATTTAGCCCGAAGTTACAATTTGATAGGAGCCAGTGTCAGTAGGTCCCAGGATTTCAAGCTATTTCAACATCCCTCCCACTTCTCTGTTTGGAACAGTGCCAAAAGTGCCTGTCTCTATCTCTCACCCCAACCCCCACAACCACCAGCACCCCCTTCGCCCCTCCTTCTTCTCTATTAAGATCAATATTCCTGCAGCTCAGGGGCAAGCAGCAGATGGGTCACTGGCTTTTTTCAACCAGCTCTTTTCACAAGCAGCAGATTGCAGATTTGGATCTGGCTAATATTTGATTTTTTTCTCCCCACTGTTTTTTCTTTCCTCTTTTCACCCTGACCCTTTTCTCCAATACTCAGGTATTTGAGGTTCCACTAAAATATGGAACTTGATTTTGGACATTTTGACGAAAGAGATAAGGCATCCAGGAACATGCGAGGCTCACGGATGAATGGGCTGCCTAGCCCCACTCACAGCGCCCATTGTAGCTTCTACCGAACCAGAACCTTGCAGGCACTGAGCAATGAGAAGAAAGCCAAGAAGGTACGTTTCTACCGCAATGGGGACCGCTACTTCAAGGGGATTGTGTACGCTGTGTCCTCTGACCGTTTTCGCAGCTTTGATGCATTGCTGGCTGACCTGACTCGGTCTCTGTCTGACAACATCAACCTGCCTCAGGGAGTGCGTTACATTTACACCATTGATGGATCCAGGAAAATCGGAAGCATGGATGAACTTGAGGAAGGTAATTCGAGGAGTGGGTGGTGGCCTTTGGTGGGAGGTGGCATCATTGGTAATGGTTACATTTTTTGGATTTCATTGAAAGAAATTAGGAAATATATTTGCCAAACAGCACGTTGATGCTCAGGCTTCTGATTCTATAGGCATCAACAGAGCCATTAGCGATTACCCTTCATGGCCTTCAGTCTCTGCTGGGGTTCAAGTGTAGATTGCGGTGATAATACATTGTGCTTATCCATGAGGGTTTACAAAGGAAAACCTGAACTGTGTGTCATTTACTCTAGATCTTAATATTTAACTCTAAGTAGTACTATCAAGGCAGACAATGAAATCATTAAGGGTGTTAAGTGACGAAATAAGTTTGATTGGGTTAACAGAAAGAAAATATACTCAAATGTCCTTTGAACTGCTAAGAGACTATTTGTGAATTGCAACTCTGGAAATATGCATCCTAAAAGTAGGACTTCTTGAATATGTTCACAAAGGATTATGCTTTTAGGTAAGTGGTCATTGCTCAGCTGTTGCTTCTAAAAAGCCCATTTCAGGGTGTGTCCCTAAGGCTGAGGTCATTGAGAGAAATATAAAAGAAAGCTGTAGGTATTCCTGGTATTTTAATAAGGACTATTCCTACTAGAATAGGAACTGACTAACTGTACCTAGACCCTTTCAAATCCTCTCTACATTTTGGTTTTGCAATTGAATTTTATGACTAGATTGCTGAAAATCCTTACAACCTGTGTACACACCCAAAAATAGGGGCTGAGCTCTTACCAAAACTTGCTCATTCATAAAGTATTTTTTTGGTAGTCATTTAGAAAATAGATCTTGAGGTGCATTCTACTTTATCAAATAAATTATATTGAGGATGCCTTCCTACCCCCACTTTTAATTTTATATGACATATGTGATCAGTTTAACCTGAACACAATGCTTTCAAGGACAGCCTCAAGAAGTGGTGATAATGAAAATGCCCCTGCACAACCTCTCCCCCCTCTCCAGCCTTCACTCCTCACTCCCTCCATTCCCTGAGCAAAGGTGTGTTTAGAGCAGGCAGATCCCTAGGGAAATCAATTATGAAACAGCCAACAAGGAAGCAGAAACAGCACATTCAATGACTTGGTGTGAGAGTGCTCCGCCTCCGCTTCACTGCTTCTAGGTTTCTTGTGTTCCCAGACAAAGGAGCATGAGGGCTTCCCTTGTATGAGATCACATTCTTGCAAGTAGCTGCTTTTTCCAAAGTAAGGTCAAGTAATTTAGGACCAGTCACTTATAAGATACAATGTCCATATGGCTACTAGATTTAGGTCTTAGGGTTCAAGTCTAAGGTTTTTCTACATAGCTAACTGACCTTGGAAAACAATGCTGAGGAGGCTTAGGTTATTTGATCATGTGCTAAATGGCCAGGTAGAAGTTAATCCTAGGCTTTTTCTGAGCATTGAAGGATTAGCCATCCTAGTGTATATCTTAAAGTAAAGGAGAATCAGGGCAAACTGGAAGAAGGGCTTCAAGCTAGATTGAGGGAGCTGTCCAACAGAGTAATCAATAAAATGTTTGTCTTTTGTCACTGTAAAATACACATTTGAGTCAAATTGGAGGGTTTTATTCTGTAATAATTTTCACAAAGCAACCCACATCACCCAATATGTCCTCATTTTCACTAGCTGTGATGTTCCAAAGACCATAATTGACACTACCACAGACTTCTGAGCCAAGTGACATTGCATTTAAAGCAAGAATTAGAATGGTCTTGTGTTTGATAAAAGAAAGTTGTCATGCACAGATTCCCCCCGCCCCCAATCTATTTTTAACATGTCTTACTCAAGTATAAGATGTTGGTCTTTGATTCCCCACCCCAAAATTTGTGTGTGTGTGTGTGTGTGTGTGTGTGTGTGTGTGTGTGTGTGTGTGAGAGAGAGAGAGAGAGAGAGAGAGAGAGAATCTCAGTTCAGTATAGGTAATACATGTAATTTTGAAGACTGGAGCTTCATTTTCTTTTGATCCTTTTAAGTCTTGCTAGATTGAACTCCTCTCATTTATCACTCCTGGGTGCAGTGATAACACTCCCTGGTGAATTACTGGACTATGTAGAGTATGAATATGTCTCAGTTGCATTTATTCATGTCATCTACAACCACAAGCTGCAGTAGCCCTCACTGCTGCCACCCCCCTCCCCTGAGTACTGCCCACTTAGACAAGGAAATTATGGGGTATCTCTGGGATAATGTTGGTAAATGTGACTGGTTTTTCCACTACCAGAGCGAGAAAAAAGGGGCATTGCCATAAGGAGGGTAAATAAAAGGGGCATTTTCCCTCCCTTTTGTCCTTTGTAACTCCCCATATAGGAATACAGGGCAGAAGTCTCTCATTTTCGTAACTTTTGGAAGAAGTTGAATGAAAGCTTTAAAAAATCATATACATGGCTTCCTATGAGATTTCAAATTGAAAATGTTTAGAAAGATCCCTGGGTGAAGAATCAGGGGCATTGGATTATAGTCTTAGAGACAGAAGATAATAATGGCAACAGAAATATTTGGATTCAGATTTGTTTCAAATCCAATATCTGTTAACTGCTAGCTTGTGACCTTCAGGAAACCATTTTGATGTCCTGAGCCTCAATTACTCATCTGCAAAGTGGAAATAACTGCTTTGACAATTAAATAAGACAATGGCTATCAAGAGTTTAGTATTCTGCCTGGCACACAGTAGCACTGAATAAAGGGTAGCAATTGCTGTTTGAGTCATCCTACTTTATGGCTGGTTAGCTACATGACTATACGTTTGTCCTCATTATCACTATGACTAATGTTCTCTTTAAAATAACTTATCTTAAAAAAACAACTTTGCTAAGGTACAATTTCCATACCATAAATTTCACCCATTTATGTGTGCAATTCAATGATTTTTAGAAAATTTACCAAGTGGTGCAACCATCATCATAATCTAATTTTGATCACCCTGAAAAGAAACCATGTAAAGGGGGGAGGGAAATGGGAGATATCTGTAATATTATCAACAATAAAAATATATTTTAAAAAAGAAGCTGTGTAGCAATTAGCTGCCACTATTTCCCCTGTTCTCTCCAGCCCTAAGCAACAATGAATCTACTTTATGTCTCTATAGATTTTCCGGTTCTGGACATTTTATATAAATTGAATCATACACCATGTACTTTTTGATGACTGGCTTCTTTCACTTAGAAAACTGTTGACAAGGCTTATCCATACTATACCATCTTTCAACACTTCAATTTTTTATTGAGGAATATTCCATGTATATATAGAGCACATTTTATAGTATACTTACTATAATATACTTATTGTAATAAGTATACATGCAATTTTGAAGGCTGTAGCTTCCTTTTCTTTTGATCCTTTTGAGTCTTGCTATATTGAACTCCTCTCATTTACCACTCCTGGGTGCAGTGGTAATACTCCCTGGTGAATTACAGGACTATGTAGAATGTGAATCTCTTATATAATAAAAGGGAAATTGCAAATTGACCCTAATGGTGGAACGACTGGTCACTATGACGTGCAATGACCACCAGGGGGCAGATGCTCAAAACAGGAGCTGTCCCCTTGTGGTCAGTGCGCTTCCACAGGGGGAGCGCCACTCAGCCAGAAGCTTGCTCATGGCTGGTCAGCACAGCGGCGGTGGCGAGAGCCTCTCCCACTCCACAGCAGCGCTAAGGATGTCTGACTAATGGCTTAGGCCTGCTCCCCAGTCGCACATCCCCCGGGGGGTTCCGGACTGCGAGAAGGTGCAGGCTGGGCTGAGGGACCCACTCCCCCCCAGTGCAACAATTTTCGTGCACCGGGCCTCTAGTATAATATACTTATCTATAAAATGAAACTAGTAACACCTAACTTCTATATCTATTATAGTGGTTATGAGAATAAAAACAGATAATGTGTATGAAAACACAATGACAAAGGAAAACTATAGCTACAAGGTACCATTATTGTTAATGATGTAAAAATAGTAATGATGATGATGATGCTAGTGAGGGGTTGGAATGGCTGTCTTTAAGAATCTTTTAGAGCAGTGGTTCTCAACCTTCTGACCCTTTAAATACAGTTCCTCATGTTGTGACCCAACCATAAAATTATTTTCGTTGCTACTTTATAACTGTAATGTTGCTACTGTTATGAATCGTAATGTAAATATCTGATATGCAGGGTGGTCTTAGGCGACCCCTGTGAAAGGGTCGTTCGACTGCCAAAGGGGTCGCGACCCACAGGTTGAGAACCACTGTTTTAGAGCTTTAGAAAAATATAAATTCCTGGCCCACACCCTGGATCTATTGTGTTAGAAGCCCCAGGGCTAGGGTTCCAGAGTGTATGTGCTTACAAATCTCCCCAGGTGATTCTTATGAGCACTTAGACTTGGGAAATACTGGATTAGGTTATCTTGATGGTCCCCTACAGCTAACTACAGTGGTGGGAGTTCATAGGAATGCAGAACTCCTTGTTTTAGTTTTTTGCTTTGTAGATAAAAGGAATAATGGAGCATAGAACATACTATATTTTTAAATTGTCACATTATTAAATATATAGCTAAAATTAAATAAAAAAGCAATCATTTAATAATCACTCTGTCCTTGTGGCGCTCCTTTGTCTAATGTCTCTAGTCTACTGTCTGCTTCTACATACTGAAAGTAGCAAGGGGAAAATTTGGGACCAAAGTCATGTTATTGATGTCAGCTTTCCCACATATCCTTGGTTACACTAAGGGTCTTAGCAAAGTCATATAGAAAATGGCCCTTATTAGCTGTATTCCCAACAAAGGAAGTCCATGAATGACATTTTCATTTGTCTTGCTTAGTGTTCATTGTTGAATCTTTCTCCTTCCTTCTTATCTTGCCTAAATGTTTCCCCAATTTCTTGTATGTGAGTGTCCAGAACAATTTTAGGGGTATACATTTTGAGCATTATTATGCAGAACAGGGGACAAAATATTTATAATTGAGACAGTCTTTTTAGAAAATCTGACCTGTATGGTGACCTTAGCTATGATTCAGTTTCTTTGCCATAGTTCATTTATTCCAATGAGATGAGAACATCTTCTCACTAATTTATCCTCTGACTACTAAAGCAAGCACATTGCCAAAGAGGACGATCTTAGGATAACTGGGAGAGATGCATCATTAGTAGGTATGATAATACCATGAAGTATCATTTAATATGTTTCTTCTTGAGTAGTGAAGCCCCAGAAAAAAGGAGAAAGCCCAGGCAGAAGTATTTTGCACTGAGAAAATGTTTAATAATTTTGAAAATGGAGCCATCCTGAAAGTGAAGGGAGGTAGACATTAGATCATCTTGAACCCACATCTCATTCCCTTCCTGCCTTTTCAGCTGTACTTCCATGACTTCATTTCCTTAATCCCTCATACTAAAGCACTTTGTCAACTCCAGCAAATTTTCACCTTGCTTGCTCTCTAAAGCCAGCTTTCCTTTTGGTTCCCAATGGGCGGGAAATGGCCCTTGGAAGCTGTGGCAGAATGGGAACCCAGCTGTGTAAAGGTACAACACACCTCACCCAGCTCCAAGTGCCAGGCAACTGGATATACAGGAAATACTGAACTCTGGCAGCAGATGTTGCAGACATTTGCAAAATCAGAACAAGGAAGCCTGGGTCTAGAGAAATAGCACATTTGATGTCTTTCCAGTAGTAGAATTAGAGAGTCCTCAGTGGTGGGCACCTATTTCTTTAACATTTAATTACTATAACAGATTTGTTATGGTAAAGCTTATTTGGGATGGAAAAAAGAAAAAGAAATTTCTTATAGACCTTTAGAAGGGACTCAGATGTCACTAGTATAGCTAGAATTTATCAAGTGCTTACTATGTACCAGGCTCTGAGCTCAGCACTTTACATACGTCATCTGACTTGTGCCTCTGAACAACCTTAGGAGATAAGGATTGTTATTATCATCCCCAGTTTGCAGACAAGTAATTGAAGCCAAGGGAGGTTAGGTAACTTGTCCAACAATACACAAGTAGGAAGTACTGGGGACCTCATTCTGATTGACATCAGAACAGCTGCTCTTTTTCCATTACTCCGTATTGGGGCCAAAGGAGAGAGAGTGGAGAGACTGAAATGTACTTTTGGAAGGTGCTTACAGTAGATTTGGCTGAGAGCCGGACCCTTTGGAAAGTTCTTGGGTGCCATATGATACCATAGCTCTCTGCCATCATGTTCATTTGCATCTAGGGGTGCTTAATCATACTCATAGTTCAGAGGCTTAAGAGGTTTAAGAGATGGGAGCAAAAAAAAGTACAGAGTCCTAATAGGGCTACACAGCTGACTGTCCAGAAGAGACTGTAGATGAGTGAAATCATAAATATATAGCTTCACACATTTCTACACCACCAGTTGTCTAACAGAGTTTTAAAGTGTATGACAAGTTATGGAAAACATCTGACATAATGGCCATGGCCTCTTGGAATGTGCCAGTGAAACTGTTAAGGCAATAGGCTGTTTCTAAGATGTAGGGGATATTGGCTGTAAATATATGAGGGAATTGAAAAGCACCCCTTTCATCCTTTTAAATCAAATTAAAGACCCTAGAGTCTAGTTGAACTGGGTTTGGTTAGGATTAGTCAACAAGGGAGCCAGAGAAATTAGGGTTTCTTTTGGCTGTGGTCTTTGAACACCCTATCGTGTGTGCGTGTGTGCAACAGGGTGCCTGTGCTTGCATACAAAGCAGGAGTGAACGCTAGCAGCTTCTGGGATTTGGAGATGTGTTGGAGGCCACTGTGCATACGTTGGAAGCCACTTATTCTCCCCTTCCACACACCCTCATAAATGTCTTCAAAGGTGCCCTAGAGATTCTGACTCAATCTTCTCTCAGCATTAACTGAGTAATTTATTAATTAACGTGGCTTAAAGAATTTGGTGGTACAGCAAAGCAATCAATATTTGCAAAGGGAGTGAATTATCAGCCTGGTGTTTCTGAATGTCTCTGCATGCTTGTCCTGCTGAAACCAAAGGAAGAAGAGCCATCAGGCTATAATTGTGTTTAATGTTTCCCTTGCACTGGCTAGAGTTGGTAGGTTTATTTATTTATTTATTTACCTAATTACTTATTTACTTAGAGTTATTACTGATAGGTTAAGCCTGATCAAATGCCACTGATTTTCTGCGGCTTGACCTCTGGATGAACTTCTGTATACCTTGAGGCAAATGTATTTTACTCAACAAATTCACAAGTTTCCAATACTCTTTCCCCCAGGCTGAGTCTACCTCTCTTCAGAAATTCCAGTTTCTAGTCCCAGGTGACTAATCCCTCCTTTTGCCTCTGACCTCTGTGTTTCTTCCGCTGTATTAGTCATTTCCTCTAGCCTCAGGTACATGTGAAATTTGCACTAGATCCCTCCAATCCATAAATCAGGCAGTATAATATATTCTCACATCTTCACCTCATTACTTGCAGCAGCCAAGGGTGAGCACTGGTGAAGACAGACCTGACTACACAGTGCAGCGTTTGGGAAGATAGAAAGATGAGATGTGGGTGGTGAAAACAAGGACGAGTATTTCTCAAGCAAAAGCTATGACTTGCAGACACAAGGAATATTGTGTGTGTGTGTGTGTGTGTGTGTGTGTGTGTGTATGTATGTGTGTGTGGAATAAAAATGTATTAACTTTGAAAGCTATCCTAGGTTTATAATACAACAATGGAGCAGGTCTATGAGTCCAGAAATAGTACAGGAACATTAAATAAGATGTACATGTGAGAAACACCATGGTAATGCCCCTAGAGGTTAAAAACATCTTAGAAATAAACATTTCAATTCTAATAAAACTGTATCAAGCTTAAGAACCCTACTTGTTAGATTATGCTTAGGTGTGTTCATTGCCCTGGGGAAAATCATTTTATAGGATTTTTCAACTAGGTATGCCATTATAATGAATAATGTTTTTCTGATTACTTGCTCTTGAATTTGAATGAGCCAAGTTGTTAGAAAGCCCTATTAGGAATTGTACCTAAGGTTGGTTATTATTACCACTTTTCCAAAAGTCCTACTCCAAGATTAGTGTGTATTAGTTTGGTTAGAATAGTCCATATACCTACTATTAAACTAATCACCACTTATTTCTTCCGTTAGGGGAAAGCTATGTTTGTTCCTCAGACAACTTCTTTAAAAAGGTGGAGTACACCAAGAATGTCAATCCCAACTGGTCTGTCAATGTGAAGACATCTGCCAACATGAAAGCCCCCCAATCCCTGGCTAGCAGCAACAGTGCCCAGGCCAGGGAGAACAAAGACTTTGTGCGCCCCAAGCTGGTGACCATCATCCGCAGTGGGGTGAAACCTCGGAAGGCTGTGCGTGTGCTTCTGAACAAGAAAACGGCCCATTCTTTTGAGCAAGTCCTCACTGATATCACTGAAGCCATCAAACTAGAGACTGGGGTTGTCAAAAAACTCTACACTCTGGATGGAAAACAGGTAGGGTTTTTTTTCAGACTACTTTTCTTCTCATTTGTTCTAAATCCTTGGATGATCATCTTACACCTCAGGCATAATTTCTGGTTGGGGGACTCTTCCTCCACCTCTTGAGCATGGGTAGGGCAGTTATGATCAGCCCCTTTGTTCAAACACTAATGTGTTTGAGGATTAAAGGAAATATCAATAATTACTATTGATATTTTATGTCTCATTTTGGAAGAAAGTCTTTTCAGCAGACAAATCAATGGACCAGGAATCTGAGGATTTGAAATTCAATCTGATTATTTCTTACTAAGTAAAATGGTTACTTAGCCTCAGCTTTCTTATCTTCTAAGAGAAGATTCATTATAACCTAGGTCAGTGATGGCGAACCTATGACACGCATGTCAGAGGTGACATACAAACTCATTTTTTTAAAAATATATTTTTATTGATTTCAGAGAGGAAGGGAGAAGGAGAGAGAGAGAGAAACATTAATGATGAGAGAGAATCATTGATCGGCTGCCTCCTGCATGCCCCCTACTGGGGATTGAACCCACAACTTGGGCATGTGCCCTTGACCAGAATCGAACCCGGGATCCTTCAGTTCGCAGGCCGACACTCTATCCACTGAGCCAAACCAGCTAGGGCGCGAACTCATTTTTTTGGTTGATTTTTCTTTGTTAAATGGCATTTAAATATATAAAATAAATATCAAAAATATAAATCTTTGTTTTACTATGGTGGAAATGTCAAAAAATTTCTATATGTGACACGGCACCAGAGTTAAGTTAGGGTTTTTCAAAATGCTGACACGCCGAGCTCAAAAGGTTCGCCATCACTGACCTAGGTCCTACATTCTTATGTATATGAATTTATTTATTACATGATGCAACCTTAGTTGTTCAATGCATGTGACTGGAAATGAGCTTTCCTCACTCATTTCTTCTGAGATAGCCTCACATTGGTATTCAGCATCAGTTTGTTGAAAAGAAGTTGAAGTGACCCTTGTATTCTATGAAAAGAGTCAGATCTGGGGGAGGCATGGAAGTCTCTGTTTCATTGTCCTTGCCTCACACTACACATTTTTTCTCTCTTCCTTGTCCATGTGACATAGCTATTTTATTTAAGTTCCACTGATGGTTTGTGTGAGAAAGAAACTGTTTCAGGATCCTAAAATTAGCCCAAGAAAGATGCTGCCATCTGCTCTCTTCCAAATCAGGTTCTTCATGTCATTGGTTATGCTACTAAAGTACCACCTATATTAATATCTGGGAAAGAATGCAGTCAGGCGTCTCCTTCAGACAGATGCACCATTCTCTTGAGCACAGAGAGCTGTAAATATATGACAAAAAATGTTCTAAGGGAATTGGAACAGTGGCTGGATCTGTTGGCTCTAAAGAGAATGCGTGTCCCCCATAAGAGAAGACAAGTGTGGATTACTTTCTAACTTATAAAATACCATTAGTGTTTGCACAAAGGGGCTGATCATAACTGCCCTACCCATGCTCACAGGATTCTCATGAGGATTAAAGGAAATCAGGGATATGAAAGTACTTCTTAAATTAAGACATATGATATAAATATGTATGCATAAATTCATCATTAAATGAGATAAATGTGTAAATTGCCAGACATTTTCATATATATATATATATATATATATATATATATATATATCTATATAATAAAAGAGAAACATTTAAATTGACCATTCCTCAGCAATGCTCACCAGCCAATCAGCCAATCAGGAGTGAGTATGCAAATTAACCTGACAAAGATGGCCGATTAATTTGCATACACAGGCACGGAGTGGCCTGGGTCCAACATTCTCGGGACCCAGGCGGCTCCTAGCCTGTAGGCCCATGTGTAGGCCCTGAGCGGCTGGGGTCCCAGAATGCCCCCAGCCACTCCGGGCCTACGGGAGCAGGCACCAAGCAGATGTTCCTGCCCCGTGGCCACTTGTGCATGCACCGGCACCAAGTGACGGCCTGGGTCCACACCCCCTAGCCCGGCGCCCACAACGTGTGGGGCTGGCTGCTGGCCTCGAGGGCATGCGGAGACCCGGCGGCCACCACGCGCATGGCCTGAGGTCTCTGTACACCCCCAAGCCCGGCGCCCACAATGCGCGGGGCTGGCTGCTGGCCTCAGGGGCGTGCACCACCCCCCGCTGGCGGGGACAAGCCCCTAACCCAGTGGACACAACACAGGGGGTCCTCTGCTCATGAGCTGCAGAGGAAACACCTTTTCTTTTCTGTTTTTTTTTCATAATTTTTTCCCTTTATTAAATAAAATATTAGAAATGTGTCCTTATCCCCCCAATGTCCCCTCATGTTTTTTTAAAATATATTTTATTGATTTTTTTTACAAAGAAGAGAGGAGAGGGATAGACAGTTGGAAACATCAATGAGAGAGAAACATTGATCAGCTGCCTCCTGCACACTCCCCAACCAAGGTACATGCCCTTAACAGGAATCAAACCTGGGACCCTTCAGTCTGCAGGCTGATGCTCTATCCACTGATCCAAACCAGTTCGAGCATAAACACCTTTTCTGACTGCTCATTGGCTAAGCTCCCTGTATGCTGCCACTTGCAGTGTTCTTGGTAACTTGGGTTATAAGGATCCAAGAAGGTGATCTAGGGTTTTTCCACCACACTCCTGGAGGAAAAAATGAAGGTCCGCTGCTGGAGGGGCTAAGAAATGTCATATCCTGCCCTAGCCGGTTTGGCTCAGTGGATAGAGCCTCGGCCTGCCGACCGCAGGGTCCGGGTTCGATTATGATCAAGGGCATGTACCTAGGTTGCAGGCTCCTCCCTGGCCGGGGCTCAGGTCAAGGCTCATGTAGGAGGCAACCAATCAAAGTGTCCCTCTCACATTGATGTTTCTCTCTGTCTCTCCCTCTCTCTTCCACACTCTCTAAAAATCAATGGAAACATATCCTCATTAATATAGGTGGTACTTTAATAGCATAACCAATGACATTTCCTAAATCTGTTTTGAATTTTTTATTCAAAAATTGTTTTTTTGGATAAAAAGAAAGAAAGAAAGAAATGTCATATCCTATGGAAGACACATCTTGAAAATGCCTAAAGAAAGTTGTTATTTTTTCATGGTGAAGGGACTGGAGTCTGTGTTGATGAAAACACCTTGGCGGCTGAGGTGGCTGGCAGTGGCTGCAGCAGCGTGGTGATGGGTCTGGCGCCTTTCCCTGATCAGCCAGGTCGCCTCCTGCAGAGGGAGGCCAGACTGTGGCTTAGGCCCGCTCCCCATGGGGACATCCCCTGAGGGCTCCCAGTCTGTGAGAGGGGGCAAGCTGGGCTGAGGGACCCCCCCCCAGTGCACAAATTTCATGCACTGGGCCCCTAATATATATAATAGATAAAGTTTTCTCCCCTTTACTTTATCTCCATCATTCTTAGATTGAATTTCCAACATTTTTGTGGAGATATATCATACCTTGGCATTCTGTGACTACTCCTAATAATAAATAAAGGGACACTTTCACCTCCTAGGTAAGCAAGCTCCAGTCTAGTGATGGGTGGATTTTTATCCTATAGCAATCTACACAGAGTGACAATCCCTCTCCAACTACTTCAAACATTGGCTCCCATTTCTTTGGGAAACAAGTTACAAAATGCCAGTGTATGATACGGTGGGTGTACAAAAATGCTAAAGAGCAGTGCTCAAGGGAGCAGAACAATGCCTTGTCAGGCATCAGTGCCACTGTTGATACTTTCCTTCTCTTTAAAATGTCTCTCACTGTGTACTCCAACCCCTGGGAGTTATATTTTAACACCTGGTTCATGTTATGTTATCTCTGAAAACTGTCTCCACTATGCAAAGTTAAAGCAATCTTAACTTTTTTTAATGCTCAGCTCCTGATACATTGTGGATGATCTACTAGTAAAATGTTTGTTGATTCAATGAACTGACATAAAGAGATTCTTACATGGTCAAGGTAGATTTTCTGAGATGTTCTGAGAGGCCTTTTGCTTTCAATACCCCAGACACTTTCCTTTTGTCTATCTGAAGAGATAGGGACCTTCCAAAGGAGTGGATATTCTACCCAGATGATTTCTATCCTTTACTCTCTTGGAAGTCACTGAAGGGAGACTTTTCAAGCAATATTTCCCAAAGTATATTCTAAGAACTGTCTCTACCTTCCTGACCCTAGAAGCTCCTCATAAAGGGTTCCGTGGTCAACTAAGGTTGTAAAATGCTGCAAAATATATGCCTTTCTTAGAGATTCATGGTGCTTTTTGGCATATTAAGTGTTCTGCAAAGTCCTGCAGAAAGGAAGCACATTTAATTTACTTCCAGAATTATTTAACCACAAACACCTTTTATGAAATATATATATGAATATATATGTATATATAATAGAATATATAATGGAATATATACATTATATATACTCCATCTTTCTCTATGGACTATATCTACACATATATTCTGCAGAGCACACTAGGAAATGCTGTTAACACAAGATGATGAATGATTGAAATATAACTACCCAAACCTCACAGGTAAGATTGGTATGTATAGGATACCCCACAAATTAAACATTGTTGTGTGGTTACGACAAGGACATTAAATAACTACATTTGGGGGTGCAGGGACAAACCTAATTACAAAATAGATTCTGAGTATACTGAACATTGGTGCCAAGCTCAAAATTTTGGATCCCAGCCCATTTCCCAATTTTAGTGATGACAACTCTAATGTTAACATCTGTCAGTCACTTTGATTACTGGTGGGTATTCTTACTACTTAGGAATATGATCTTTCTCTATGCAGGCTGAAGGCACATGTGTTGCAATGGCTTGGACTTGCTCAAATCAGATTAGGTTTAGCCTGTCTTTGGCTAAATGAGGCACCAGACAGAAAGGAGAAAGTAAGGCCAAGACTATTTGTTATTAAATGTTTTAACATGAAATCCAGGCCATCACTTGGTTTCTGTCTTGCATCTTGCTCTGCTCTAACTGGATACCAGATAAACCAGAACAGGTGGTTTTCTCCT